ACATGATGAGGGATCATTTTAGAAAAAAGATCTACTCATAAACGAACGGTTTCTGAAAGGCGTGATTAAACTATTATTCCACCAACACTAGAACAAACGTCCAACAGTTCGTCGACAGTCGTTCGTCCTTATGTCCGTCCATATCGACAATAACCGCGGCCGCTCGTCTGGCGTTGGCCGCCGGAAACGCCGCGTCTATTTCCAACCGGACGCGCGCTTGTTTACTGTCACCCGTCGCCGTCGCCCGTCGCCTGTCGCGGCTGCGTGTCGTTAACACCTACCACTATTAACATATCGATATCGACGCCGATAACAAAACTTGATACATCGATATCTTATTGTTGCACGTCACTTTGTACGGTTAGCAGAATTACATTTTCAACTATTATAAGTAGAGTTCTGTGTTCCGTCGATAATTCAAAGCCATGGTGATAAAAAAGCAGTTATAATGGTTTCAGGTCTCAAGCGGAGAAGAGCGGCGGCGGGGGCTCCGGGGAGAAGGCAAGTGAGGGGGGCGGCGGCGGCAGCAAGGAACAGAATAAGAAGCCTCACATCAAGAAGCCGCTCAACGCCTTCATGCTTTACATGAAGGAGATGCGTGCCAAGGTTGTCGCCGAGTGCACGCTCAAGGAATCCGCCGCCATCAACCAGATCCTCGGTAGACGGGTGAGTCCCGCTCCAAAACTTACACCGTCCATATCTTATAAATGTTATTTTTAATTTTGAAATACATATCTCAGTATCCAAGTCAAACTGGCCATTTAGTATTCCAATCAAACGATTTAATTATATAAAATTTACCCTTGACTCTGTGTTTTGTTCCGTATAGAAGCGATGTTGTCATTGTTAATCTTGTAAGGAATACGATTCGCGAGGCGTCGAGTCAACAAATCGACGGCGAGACAATGCCGCGCCGCGGCCGAGCCGGCGCCGTATCGCACATCAAACTAGATGCATTGAATAATAACGAGTGTGTAACGCGAGGCGACATTCCTCACAAGAGTAGCAAGTGTGTCAGAGCGGCCGCTCGCGAGCGTCCAACGAGCCGCGCGCGTTGGGCGGCCGCGAGCGGCGCGGCACGCCCATAATGTGGTGTACCCGTGTCGATACGCAGTGGCATTCGTTGAGTCGCGAGGAGCAGGCAAAGTACTATGAGAAAGCGCGGCAAGAGAGACAGCTCCATATGCAGCTATACCCCGGGTGGAGCGCCAGGGACAACTACGGTTACGGTTCCAAAAAGAAAAAGCGGAAAAAGGACCGAGGTCCCGCTGAATTGGGAGGTATTGGACCTTAGGAACTGTAACCTGTGAAGGGGCTGGGTCACGTCGACGCTTGTGTACACTCGCTTCACCTCCCCCTCCCGTCCTGCGTGTCCCGCCGAGTCCCGCGAGTCCCGCTCGCGGCGAGCTCCTCTAACACTACTAACGCCCGCTTGCGTCACTCAGACGACTCCGTTCCGAGCCGACCCGACCCGAGCCTGTCCCGTATCGTATGAGTGAGCGTGTTTGCGTGTGTCGTGCGCCCGGGGCCGTGCTAGAAAAGCGGCCGGCCGGCTGTTGCGTGTTGTGTACTGTACTGTAGACGTCGAGTGACCGCACTCACCTCACCCCGGAAACATTGGTTTGTTCTGTGTCTAGGCGCGTCGTTCGACCGCAGAATAGGTTCTGGGAGGAACATAATTGGCCATTCTCATTCCGGTTAGGATCAAAATTGCCGCGGGGACGCGTATAGCGGGCTGTTTTTCTAGCACCAAGATAGGACGGCGAGCCGCTTGGGCCGCGTCGAAGTGCATTTATCTTTTCTTTCCATATTCGCTGGCCGTTGACGGTACAGTGGCACGCACTCGGCCGGGAGGAGCAAGCCAAGTATTACGAGCTGGCGCGTCGGGAACGCCAGCTGCACATGCAACTCTATCCCGATTGGTCGTCTAGGGCTAATACGCAAAGGGGCAAGAAGAGGAAACGAAAACAGGAGACAACCGATGGAGGTACTGCCTTTCGCTCCGTCGCCGTCCCACCTCGCTCCGCATTCACCATTTCCCGCTCCTCTCCAGCAAAGAAGACCACGCTTGTCACCGGAACAACCGGCATCGAGCTACCTAAAATATCACAATCACGATTCCCAAAGTCCAACACGTGGTCTGAACAGTGGACGTCTCAACGAACGCGCTACACGCGCTTTGTCTCATTAAAAAACGAGGTCAATTAATGAAGGATTAACTCGGAGACGTCTGCTGCTTCCTTTCCCCTACCACTGTCCCCTCTCCCCTGTCCTCAGGCCCGTGAGAGTTCAATTACTTTGAACTTGATGCCAACCATGCGTAGTTACTGCCGAATGTATAATGGTTGAAGGGGTCCAGGTTGTAGACTTATTATTCAGCATTACTTATTTTATTTAATATTTATCGCATTTATTTATTTATACATAAATTTTTTGTTACTGTAATTACAACGCTATATAAATATATATTCCGAGAATCATCCCGAGTAAGTGGCACTCCTTCGAAGGTTGTCCCGGTTTTTGTTGTTCCGCTCCGCTCCGCCGGCGGCCACCAGTCCGGTCCGGCCTTGCTGCCATGATGCGTCAACATTTCAACTTTAGAGTAAATGCTTCGCAGGGAAGTAGCTCTGTGCGGGCTGGGACAGCCTTCTTGAGATATTGAACTATGCAAAGGTGTAGAGACATATTACTTGCATGAGAGAGGAGAGGAGAGTACGCGAGGGCGTAGGAGAGCGGCGGCGGCGAACGCGTCCGCAATAGATACGAGCTGCCGATGCTTCTGCGGTGTTCTGTACAATGATACTGGCCAAACAACATATTTATTTTGATTCCGGAGAACCTATTCTGCTTCAATTTGCTTACAAGCGTCATGTTTATTTGTGACTGTTTTGTTTTTCCGTATGACGTAGTTAGCACAGTTTTTGATAGCGAAAGCGAGTAGTCAGCTATTTTTAAAACCAATGTTTTTCCGTTTTTCCCTTTTATTTATCCCTTTCCGATTTCCCGCATGATACTAACGTGTTATTAGATGTTTGTTGCATGCAAGCTTGTTTGTAGTCGTAGTATTAGGTGTATTATTTTTAAGGCGCTTCCAACTTGATTTAAAGTAAATTTATTTTTGCCAAACGATCGAGAGTAAATACCATTTGATTTGTATTAAAAAGCCGCTTTTAAAAACCAGATAATTTGATTAACATTATTTTTAGAAAGTCAACTTCCCACATCACACGGTTGAACCGTTAATTTGCCGTTAAAGTTTTAATTTGCTATTAAATATCCATATATAATGATAATAAAGTAACAACCTGGTAGAAGTTTGCCGATAACTTGTGAATTATTTAAGCGACGTTTTCTAACAAACTTCCTGTCGCACTTCCAGGAAATAATTTGAAGAAATGTCGGGCGAGGTACGGCCTCGACCAACAGAACCAATGGTGCAAACCTTGCAGGTGGGTACTTAGAAAACAACTTTTTTTTTATTATTTTTCGCTTGAACCTGTTCAAAATTTTTAAAAGAGGTTTTCCTATAACTTGTTTGTCGTTTCAAAAATTATATTGTTTCTATGTGGAAAGACTTGGCTTATCTTTTCGTCTTCACATACAATGGCAAAAGGAGCCCAGTCCTCAATTTTTTTTTGTTTCTCTTATTAGTTTTTTTTTATTTATTGTAATTCAAAAAAATCTGTAGTAGTTGTTGTGTTTTATGTTATTGATAATATTAACGTTGATATAATGTTTCGGTTTAAACAAAACGAGTCTGGTCAAATAGGATTCGTGTACGGCGAAGCAGCAAATATAATTCAGAAAATGTGTCTTTTCACAAAGAAATAAGTTTGATACGATGTAGAAAGCACACGGAATAGATTTTTTTGAAAGTAGACAAAGTGTGGTAGTGAATAGGCAATAGAATATCGGCAATCCAGATCGGCTGAGGGAAGGCAATCATTTGTCGAAGAAAACTTTCAAAAAAATCTTGACACATTTTCTGAATTTCGCTTGCTTTTTTTCTTGGGATACGACCAGAGATATTTAATATGACGATGTTTATACTTATCGAAATGTTTTTTTCCACTCATGATTGCCGCTACCCACGGAACAATGCTGGATGACTGGCACCATTGGTAACTCGTTACTCGAATATTGATCGCTAACTAAATATACACCAAACTCCACTTGACTCGATATTTTTTGTTTTTTTTTTTATGTATTCCTTATTCCTGTTGTCTAATCTTACATTGTCGCAATCTTATAACATGATGCTGTTATGTTTTTTATTACTTAACTTTTTTTTCTTGTCCATTTTGCTATTCCCAAATTCTCTCTTTTTATACTTTCTTGAATGCCTTCTTTTGTTGAAATGTAAACTAATATTACAATTTCTGACTTTGCAATTACAATTCTGTGTCATTCTTTCGTTGCATTTTTTTTAACCTTTTTTCGTACCTTATATTACTTTAAACTTTCCTCATTATTCATTCAACTTTCCAACACCATATTTTGGTGCATTATGACTCTTTTTCTTTGTACCTTCTCTTATTTACGTTTCACCACTTTTTGTTGGTGTATTGCGTTTGTATGGACATCAGTCCCGAGTCAAGTAGCGTGATGGTGTCGGGCGGGCTAGGGCTGCTGCGGCCGGAGGCACCACTGCCCGGGGCCAGCCTAGTGGGCAGCCCCGCGCAGGAGCCCACATACGTCAACCTCTAGTGCCGGTCCAACGCCGAAGGAAGTACGGTCAGTTACGTCGTAGCATGGATTTAGCCGATTTATTGTTTTGCAGTATTCTCAGTTTAACTGTAACATTGTTTTTGTCGTTGCTAGTTATTTAACATATTGTTAGTTGTTTTTTTCGGTTTTGTAGTGATTTTTTTTTTAATTTTAATTGCATGACGTTTTCGATTTTTAATTTTGTTTAGCGATTCTTTAATAGACAAGTTTATAATTTAGGATTATTATTGAATGTTTATCGAGCAGAATTTTCCTATGTTTACAATTGGGTCATATTGTTTTAAAACTTGTGGATTACGAGGAGAAATAAATATGATCCCTTATGAACTTGTTAACAACGAAAATATAAAATATATAAGTAGATTGGTTTCAATAACTTATCTATGTCTAGATTTGTTGGAAGGTCGTAATATCGTCTTCGAGTTCTTGGTCGACAATAATCTGCTTTTAAGATAGAATGTTGTGCTTTTTTTAATTTGTCGATGTTTGATTTTTTTTTCGCATTGTAATATGTTTTTGTTTCTTCAAAATTCCATTGAGTTTTTTTTTAGCGTCGCATGAGTGTTCGGATGTTTTCTGTGTGCCTTCATTGATGTTATTGACGTAGTTATATCCTTTTGTTGTTTTATGTTACTTGTGATTATTTTAGCATGTATAGATTTAATATTTTTACAATTTTTATGTCTAAAAGAACGCAAAGTGTGTAAAAACTAATTTTTATTAAATAATACAAAATTATTTTATAATGGACCTAGATGGATGTGATGTAAGGTAAGAACAGATTATTACAACGTTCCTGATATAGATTTCTAAACATTCGTGGTTACATGCAACTGTTGTTTAGTTCCAAGAAATTAGGATTCTTATAATGACTGGACTCGGTCAATTACAGTAGTCGTATACAATTATAAAGAAGTTACAAAGATAAAGTGAAATATAAGCAAAGAAGAGGACATCGATTCTGTTTGTTCCACTTTGTATCACGTTAAATGTTATTAACTTTGGCGACGGTAAATTTTCAGGCGGAAGAAAAAATGCGTTCGTTACATGGAGGCGCTGGCGGCGGCGGGGGGCGCAGGGGGTCTGGGCGCGGGGGGCGCAGGGGGCGCAGGGGGCGCGCACTCTCCCTGCTCCGATGAGGACGTGAAGCTTGAGGAGCTGTCGGACGCCAGCAGCGACGCCGAGCCCGACACGCCCCCCACCTCCGCCTCTAGCCCCGGCGGACTCAGCGCGCTCTCCTCGCTCGCCTCCCCCGCGCCAGACCCCGCGCACCCCGCGCACGCCCCGCAGCCGCACCCCACGCACCCCACGCCGCGTCACCCGGTGGGCACGAACCCGCGTGACGCCAACAACCCGCTGTCTGTGGGGCAGCTCACCTCGCAGTCATGGCCGCGCGCCGCGCAGACCCGGCCCTCGCACGAAGTCATCTCAGTGTCATAGTGCTGCCGCCAGCGCCCGTCCGCCGCCGACAGTGACAGTGATAGTGACAGTGACAGTGACACTCTACTGACTGCAATCTGCTGACACGGGCTCGCTGTCTACCGCTAGGCGGCGACACTCTACTACAAATCTGGATTGTTACTTCTTAATCTTGTATCATAAGCCTCGTGTTCCTTGTAACGTGTTTACAATTTTGAAGTAACAATCCGTTTGAGAACAGCGCCATCTATCGGCGCGTCGGTACAACGCGGTGGCGAGCGCCATCTAGCGGCGCGTGTAAGAACGTTGTTGTGTTGGTTGTGACATGACAAGTTATGTTCAGGAACTGTATTATAACTTCGAGGATATTGTGATTTCACATTTAATATTTTTTCATCAGGTGCTAAATAACACGGGTTTTCTTGCATGACATTCGGGAATATCGACATTTTGTGTATATTTTTTTTTATTTGTCAACTATTCTCTTAAATACCGTAGAAGTTATGTTTATTTCGCTGACAATTTGAAATGGCCTAAACATTCACCATGTGTCTGATATTTCTGAATGCCATACGAATGCAATGTACATGAAAACTTAATATGTAATTTACGTAAAACTTCTGTGAAATAAAGAACACACAATTTAACATATACACTTGTCTCAAACTCCAGTCAACCATGATCTCAGATCCACTCTCATTGAATAACAGTTGAAATCGGCTATAACAACATCGCAGCAACTTTCAATATTCAATCATAATACATAGTCTTTATAACCGATGTCATATAAAACGGTTTCTTCTGTATATTCAATGACTAGTCACAGTTATTTGTGCCATTGTGTACAACCGGTTTAAATAACGATTATATTTAACGTTATATAGTTTAACAGTTATAGTTGATCAACAATAGCTACAGAAAAAACTAATTTAAATTCATCTTTTTTTACTCTATAACTGTTAAACTACATCGATGAATAGTAAAAAAAGTGGATTTAATTTTTGACCTCTTGTAAAAGATTTTTTACCTAAGACCCATTTATATTAGATCATAATTTATGACCGAGTTTGTTAATTATTTGCCTTTGTAAAAAGATCAAAAAAAATTCTTATTAAAAAAAATACAAAAATGTTTCATCCTGTATAAGAACATTTTAGAGGTGTTTGTAAAATCAATGTTAGATTTCAATATTTAAACACCTAATTTTTTATATTTGCTTAAAGTCTCGTACATTTAAAAAAAACTGAAAAAAAATGTTTTTGAATGTTTTGTTATTTTAAAAGGTTTGATAATTAACAATCTCAGTACATAATCAATAAACATCAATATAACAGATAATATTAACTTATAAAAATTAGAAGTACATAAAAAAATCTTACTTATAAAATCAATATTGCCGTGTATACCTCTATATAAAGGCATAAAATAATCTAAAATCAAATATAATTTGCCTTTTATTGCTCTCTTCAGAAATATATTTAATCCAGACTTTAAAGTAGAATTCCATTGTGGTGGTACAAACTTGTCATCTCTTTTTTATCAAAAAGAATAGAAAGAGATGGCAATTATCACAACTATGGAATTCTATTATATATACAAAATTGCACCATAATGTTCCACGTAGTGTTTAAAAGTTTTAGTTTTAAAATAAAGTACCTCTCTTTGGGTCAAACTTGTGTAAAGTATAAATAATTCGACCCAAAAGGGACAGCTGTTTTTTTTTCCGTTGTGCGGAATTGTTAGACTGTCGTAGGAATAGAACTAGATGGCGTTGCATGAGTCAAAATATTTAATATTGTGTTTATGGATGTTGCCTTTTGGAATTTAATTTTTTTACTTATAAAAGAAAATTTGAGTTTTTTTATTATTTTTCAATGGAATTGTTTTAATTTATTTTGATTGATAAAAATTTTGTGTGAAAAGGAACTTTTTAATTTATTATTTTGTTGTTGCTTTTAATCAAAAGTAACAAGAATAAGTGGAGATATATTTTCTCTTATTACAAGTGCATTTATTACTTTTTTTCTACTAATTTTGGTTCAATGTTATTTGTTCATTGCAATGATATAAAAAAACAATGATTTTAATTACAGAACCTTTACTTACAGACTTCTATTGCAATTAATGCATTTTAAATAGTCTTAGTATGAGTTCGTTATAAAATTTTATTTGAAACTCTAAAAAATGGGTTCGTTTAAATTATTTCTATGTATTGTTACTATTAACAACACTGAAATGTAATGAAAAATAAATTAAAAAGAGAGTTTTTGTTTATAGGAGGTAAATTTGATTTTTTTGTTTTTTTTTTAATTGGAAAATACAACAATTTTTTTTAAATATTAACTAACTAAACCACGAGTGTAGTAAATGGATTATTATATGTTTTTGCGTCAATGATTTTATTGTAATGAAAAATTTTTTTTGTTCATTTTGTGTAATGTGAAAATTCCAAAGGGCAAATTCCGAAACATCCTGTATATGTGTAAGTACACACTAGAGCGGTGTAATTGTATAAAATGTAGGTTTTTAATCTAACTGTGTCATATTAGATGATAAGTGTACTATTCTACTTACTTATATATTATACATTATTGCTATATAAAAAAGAAGTTTAAAGAAAAAAATATTAGTTAAAATACTGACTCAAAATATTAAAATAATATCAGAATTCATATGCATTATTACAGTTATTGAAGACCGCGTTTGTAAATAAATACACGATTTAGAACAGTTTTTTGGTATTAAAAATAATTATTGCATTTATTATTATAATAAAAAAATTATCGCACGATACGTTCTCGGATGGTTTGTTTTTGTCCAATGCAACATTTTTTTGTTAATTACTATTTTTTTTTATTGTTATTATTAAGATTTTTAATGTTGTTAAATGCAATATCGAAACTACTGATTGTGCTTTTCGTGATTTTAAATTGATTTTTTTTGAAAAGAAAATAATTGAATCTGTTAACATTTATCATTTGACGAAGTTTTTAAATCTCTTTGACTCCGATCGTTGGCATGATTTTGCATGATTATATAAAAACCTGTGCAATATTTATACATATGGGTATTGTATAGTTTTTGAAGTACATATAATATTATATAAAAATTCAAGTGTAAAAATGATATTTTAAGGACTATTTCTGAATTTATAGAAATTATTTTGCTTTCAAATCAAGAAGAAACATTTTATTTGTTTTTTTTTTTGTCTTTTTGCTTTAACAGTAATGTAAAAATTAAAACCCTACGTGCCAAAACCATCTGGAACTATAAATATTCAGGGATTTAACGGATGGACAGTAATTTTAAACTATAGCATATTTCAGTGCCAAATTTAACTGTAAAAACTATGGGTATTTTGTAATACCCAATACCTCTGAAAGGTCTTTTATGTTGATAGATTTTATAGGTTGTTTTTATTGTTAAGGCGGCAAAGACAGGCGGCCACTGTGTCGGGCCGATTATGTTTTTTTGTAGGGAAAATTTTGTCAAATTAGAAAACTCAATTATTAGGTCTGAACCCATAACTTTGTGTTCAGTTGAAGGAATATTATTTTAATAAACAACTTAAAAATTGTATTTTTTATTTTTTTCTCACTCCGAGATTCAGCTAACCACTAAACATATTGTCCTCTCTCCATTACTCTTTGAAATGACAGAGACAACATGTTTTTTAATATAAGTGTAATTTACATAAGGAAAAATAAAACATCCTTTATGATTACATTGTTTATTTTGTGACAATGAATAATAAAGAAAATACATATAAGTAATTGTGTATAATATTGTAAAATTGTGATACAGTGAAACGTTATACGGACATTTGTACTGGGGTCTACTTCAATTACAATGAGTACAAGTTAATTATTTAGAAAACTTTAATATTTTAAATATTTCTAGTCACGTACACACAAATGAGACTATTTAAAATTACTGTTTTACTTAATATTCATTCATTTCTCAAACAATTAGGCGTCATTAGTCATAAATAGAATAATTTGAAAAAAAAATGTAATCAATGAAAAATAACTAACATATTATTTGAGTTCTCTTAATGCGTGTAATAAAAAATAGCTTATAAAATGCATAAATAAATAAAAATGCTCTGATTGTGTTGGAATTTCAACATTAAAAGTTGCATGATTAAAAATTCTAAATAATATATTAATTATAATATTAATCATAAATAATCATGACTGTCAAAACATTTTAATTTAAATTGTCACTAATAACTGAAAGTTTACATGTTTTTGAATTCAAATCCAACATAAGTAATTTACCATATTTTATGAGTACTCTTTGGCGTTTTTTAACAATGAAGATATTTTAAATTCGAAAAAAAATCGATGTTTTCAAAGAACAAACTTCCCTAAACGCGATGACAGCGATATGACAACCGCGACCACAGATAAAAACAAAGTGCAGCAATAAATGCAGATAAAATACAATCCTGCCTTGTCACTAAATATCGTTTTAATTTTTTTTTATTCCTTTTGAAACTTTGTAGCTTATGCCTCGAAGTTTTGTGTAAAAAATTACAAAAGGTAAAAACTGTCACTATCTTTTATGATAAATAATTAGAGGCAAACTATATGTGAGATGCAAAGATAAAAAAATCTATTTCTACCTACTTTCATAAGTGTAATCAACAAGAAAATACAATATTTGTTTTGCAAAATCGACTACAATTATTGAAAACTAAAACTAAGTACACTAAAACTTGCTATAAAATTATCAATATTGTTCAGTAAACAGTTCCTTTAAAAAACTATAACATAGAAAACATTGGTTCCATTCGACATCACATTTTCTGATAAAAAAAAACACAATTTTCTATAACCTATCCTGAGATACAGTCAATTTTAACTATAATCCTTACAAAATCAGTCTATGAAACCGAATTAATATTGCCTTACAATGATTAAACAATTAAAAATGTCATGCAACTATAATAAGCAGTCTAACAATGTGGATAACTCAAAAAACCTCATCGAATCTATCAAAAGTACAAACAAATATAAACCTTATTGCGTTCGAATAAGTTATAAAATAATGTGAACATTTTGACAGATCTAATAAGGATTTGTGTTAGTTACTGTAAATAACAGAGTAAATAATCTAATATGTTCGCAACAAACGCTAAAAAAATGCTTTGCGTTTATGAAAAAATGCTTTCAGAATAATTATACGTCAAACACGATTCACAAATGCCATTAAAATGTTTAAAATTAATAAACATAATTTTCCATTCATCTTTTTTTTTTTAATTCTTAAAATAAATAATAAAATAAGACACATCCGATACATTTTTTCACAAGCTAAAGCCGCAAGCCGCAGACCGGTTTGAACTTGTCGATACCGGACCGGACCGGTTTGATCCGGTTCTTACCAGAGGCCGGAGGACTTGCCGCCGGGCGGGTTGCGCACGCGCACTGATGTCTTCGTCTCTGCACCTTCCAACTCCTCTGCAATGTTTAAAATATGTTTTATTAGTTTCTACCACAATTAAAGTATTTTAAGTATATAAGAAGGGGGCTAACTCTGAGTTGGGGCTGATCAACTATAAATTTGCTATTGACAAAAACTTCTTTTTAGTTTTTCACCATATGGTCGTATGTTACAGTATACATATGTAACAAGTCTTGTTGTACTGACTGCTGATGGAGAAGGTGGAATTCTGCAAGTCACGTTGTCCAGGCTCGCGCATCTTGCGTCCTGTGGGCGTGCTGCAGCCCGAGGACAGCGCGCTGTCCGCCAGCTGCTTGCTCACTAACTGCAGCTCTACAAAACAAAACATGATAGAACTTTAATTTGGGATAAAGAATTTACATTCAACATTCAGAGATAGTTATTTTAGTTAGTAAACGCAGTAAATAAGTATGACAGGCGGATACCAGAGCAGATTCTTATGAAGCAAATTAAATTGAACTCGACTCAATGGAAATAAGGTTTAATTTTATTCTTCAAGTCATTTTTTATCAAAAGCAACCGTAAAAAGATTTGAAAAGTAAAATTAAACCTTGGACCAATCATATAAAGAGCTCAATTTTATTTAAATCTGTTCTGCTCTCAGTCCCCTTTCTAATATGTATTACAAAACAATGAAACTCTTTTATCTTAAAACAAATATATAGTATAATTTACCACTGGTAGGTGTGGGAGTGCCGTTGGTGACCCTGGCGGGGAAGTCGAGTCGGGGAGAGGGCGCGTGGGGCTCCGGAGTGCGGGCCTTGGGCGCTTCGCCCCCGTACACGTAAGGGCTCATCACTGGCGTCTTCAGGAATTTACCGAAACCTGAAAAATAAACGTTTTAGTTACAATATTGTTATTTCAAACGAATGATTTCTTTCTAAAGTCAGGTAATAACATAGTTACAATTATTTGGTTTATTTGGTTACCTTCAACGACCCTGAGGTCGCCGTCGTCGAAGCAAACGCGGCCGTTGACCACCACGTACTGCGGACTGCCCACCACGTTCTGACCCTGCGAAAACAGTTCACTTTTATTAAATTTGTTAATAATAAATATAAAAACCGATAAACAGAGAAAATTATGGTATAAGGTTTCCGTCTTTTTGAAGAGGTAATCCATTACTTGGAAGAGCTTAACATTGTCGTCACTATGGGCATGGTCAGAAGTAAAACTTTCTTTTCTCAGCGCAGGGTACTTGGACATTGTACACTAGCGCGTACCTCAAAGATATTGAAGTCGACAGCGTGGGCGTGTCGTGTGGCGGAGATGGTGCGCTGTAGGCGCGGGTCCCACACCACGAGGTCTGCGTCAGCGCCCACACACACGCGACCTTTGCGCGGCCACAAGTTGAACACGCGCGCTGCTGTAGCACTCGTCACCGCCACGAAACGACACGGGTCCATTATACCTGATGATACAAGAGGTTAACTTTAGAATTGATATATTTCCTTTATTATTATAAGGTGGCAAACATACATTGTCATACTTGTAAGCAAGTTATTTACTTATATTTAATTCATATGTAAACTAGAGCTTTTGAAAATTACTATACTAAAGATAAACAAACGTTCTACAACGTTATGTCTGCATTTTTGACTCCAACTCTCAAACCAATCAAGCAATTACAAACCGAAAAGATTATTTTGTACATACCAGTGTTAACTCCCTTCTGCCAGAGTATGGACATGCGGTCCTCGACTCCGTTCACGCCGTTAGGGATCTTGGAGAAGTCGCCATGGCCCTTGGCCTTGTCACTCTCATGGAACGTGCAGTTGTCGCTGCCGATCAGCTGCACGCAGTCACTGGAATTATACACGTATAATTCTATCAAACGCCTGTAAGAAATATTACGGCAATAACAGGTCATACAGAAATGAATGTTGTTATGACAAAACGTACAGGAGCAGTTAACTTTAAAATAACCTTTTATAAGGGAACAATGGTAGACGAATAAGTCATAAAAAACTTGTCTAGGCTTTAACTTAGCTTTGTCGCCTTGCCTAGCTTCTGCGATATATGTACTCTGTATCTCTCTAAATGAAGTCGCATTGCCTCTTTCTCTGTCGTATCATTCATAATATTGTCTTTATCCACTCACTCAGCGAGTGCTTCCAGCATGGCCTGCGGGGTGTCAGGGTCGGAGCGCAGAGGAGGGGACATCACGTGACCTGCTGCATGACGGAAGCACGCATTGCGGTAGTGCGAACCTGCGAGTAAACGAACTTTTATATAAGTACGGATTTTTTTTAAAAAAAACAGAAATAATTGATTTATCATTGAAATATTAGCTTAATTCGCTATTTATCTAAGTTAATATATTCAAATAACTATTTTGTGTTTGAATTTATAACTCAGTGTGACGATGAACTTTTATCAGGCATATTTTTTCAAAAAAAAAAGTGTCATCAGCTTAAAGAAAGCGCCATCTATAATTAATATTTAGAAACTTCTAGTTTCAACAGCTATTTTACTTCAAAAATATTCACTCCTTTTTCATTTCAGAAGTCTCAGTGTTGGTTATAGTACCTTTATGTAGAGTTTTGTCTATGGCTATTTTTTTTAAACATACCGTCAGTTCCAACAGTGGCTGCGAGTGTTTCTCCATACACGGGCTGTTTCTGTCTGGGCCGAGCGTTCTCCAGAGCCTTCACCGCGCTGCGCGACATCATATGCACTATGTATAGTGGACTGTTGGCCTGGAAATAAGAAGTATTTATATGTAAAACAAACTAAAAACATATTTTAAAAGTAAAATGAAATAAGTACGAAATTGTTTGTTGATATTTCATGATAAATCCAGTATCAGATGACTTCAAAAATTTTACATAGATTTTAGCATAGATTTCTCACACTATGTATAGACATATTAATAAAATTGGCGTGTCTGTATGAAATATCGAAAAATTTCGTATGATGAAATCATATATTTTCGTAGCTGATAAAGATCAATTTTAAAAATTTTTGTCTGTCTGTCCGTCCGTAAAGCCAAGTTTGTTCCAGATAATCTCCGGAACGTCTGGATGGATTTTGACGGAACTTGGACGAGAAGGCAGCTGATGCAAGCTTATATTATAGGCTACGATTTCTAAATCCTCCGCTGACAAAGTCGCGGGCGACAGCTAGTCTACAATATGGTGGATTTAACAACTCAGTATCTCAGTTACATACCTGATTAGCGATTACGCATGCTCTGTTGACAGCTTCAGCCTCGACCTCCTCATCACGAGACAGCTCATGACCCTCAGGGTCAGTCTTGCCCGCAGCAAGCAGCTTCTCTGTGTTGCGAGCTATTATGTGCCCGTTCTCTGCGTGCACCTACAAATAGTAATGGGATTAGACTATAGGTTTAACGGTGACTATAGGTTTAAGGTTTCTGAGACCAAATCCCAGTATAAAATAGTTATCTTTACTTTGTCAATGATAATGACAGGGCTGACGATATGATTTATATAGGAATTTTGATCTCAGGAACCAACGGTTAATGAGTTAAATCTTACTTTGTCGTGTCTTCCCTTAGAATTTGTTTTAATGAAATATACAGAGTGTCCCAAAATTCAACGATAAAACGGTACTTGTGTATAGCCAGGTCGATTGATTTATCGTTGAATTTTGGGACATGCTGTATAATGCTTCAGAAACTTTAAATTAAAAGTAATATGTTGTCACACCTTTCTCCAAGGTCCTTCATCTAAATAGATTATAAAATAGTTTCTTAGGCTACATAATGTTTTTTCTAGTACGGTTTCTATTTTCAAAACTTTTGGTATAATTACCATAGGCAATGCTCCCAGGTGCTTGCAGGTCTCCATAGCAATGTACAGATGGTAGTCATCCAGCATCCAGGTGTCTCTATACGCCATGAACATCTTGAAGGAGTTGACGCCGTACTCTTCGGAGCAGAGCTGCTGCATCTCCTTGGCGACAGCGGGAGACCACCAGGTCACACCAACATGCAGCGCGTAGTCGCAACACACCTGGGATTGTAAAAATTTATGGTGGGTTTTGTTTATACTTCAAATAATGTCAGCTTTCAATAAATCAGGGTGACTAGGTCATAGTCAACTATGCTAGCCCACTGCGGGTTAACTTTACATTTATCTTTGAATTTCTTCTCAGATATGTGCATGTTGGATCAAGATGTTTTTCTTAGAAAATCAATAACTTTTACCTTATTATCTGCCTTCTCCCTCCAGTGGTTGTAAGCTTCAACAAGAGACTGTCCTTTTTGAGGCAACACGAAGTCAACTGAAATCACAAATTGCAATTTAATAATTTGTTTAGATTTTTTTCTATAGACTTTTATCGACGCTTTTTACTTCTTATTAAATTCATTTATTTGGCTAAAAATCTGTTTCAAAATGAACTACAAATTTGGTCTGTAAGCTTGCAATAAGGGCGAATTAAACATAAACTGATAGTTGGTTTTAAATCAGATTACTGCATCACAGAACTTTTAGGATATTAGTTACAAAGGAATAGCCTTGGACTAAATTGTCCTTTCTTCAACAATACTTGTATTCATAAAGGCAGGGTATTGTGATGAACAATCTGTGTTTACTTTGTATAGAGAACCTGTCATTTTTACTATACAGCAAATGTACACAAAAATATGTTTTAAACAATTTCTATTATTATTTTAAAACAGTTATCAATGGTTACCACACCCAGAATTACTTATAAATGCGCTTAGCATTGACTAAAGTAATAAATAGCTATCTTAGTGATTAGCCAATGGCACTATAATATTTAATAGTTTAATACTAGTTTCTTTATTTACTGTCAAGTGAGCGGCCACCTGAAATGACTGAAATAGCGAAGTGACCGTTGCCCATAGACATAAGCAATTGCATATGCGTTGCCTACCTTTAATCGACGGAGGAGAGGATGCACAGAAAGGAAAATATGTTCGCTTTCCATGCATCCTCTCATCCGGAAAGTCCACTTCCACTTCCCATCTTTTCCTAATAAGAAAAAGGATGGGAAGGGAAAGAGGACTAAATTAGGCCTCTTAGGGTTTTTACAGATATCTTGGAGGCTCGGAACGTCGTACGAATCGCTGCGCATAACACAATGTTAGGTGTGTTAGAGTGTAGCAGGATGCGGGGGAAAGGCATGGCAAGGCGCTGATGACCTTGAGCCGCCAAGATATTTGAAAAGAGTAATACATTGTTTCCTGCTGTCAATTGGTTGTACATTGATTGTTATAAACTTATGTCTTTTACTGTCATTGCTGTTTACTTACTGACAGTAGTGGTACCCCCCGCGACCGCTGCCCTGGTACCCGTGTAGAAGTCGTCAGCTGTCTTCGCGCCCATCATCTCCAGCTCCAAATGCGTGTGAGGGTCGATACCACCTGGTAACACCAGCTTACCGGTCGCGTCGATCACCCTGGTACCGCCAGGGATGATGAGGTTGCGACCCATTTGCCTGGAAACAGAAAAGTTAATTAGAGGACGCCATCTATATTCCAGTAGAACAAACAATTATTTGCTTTGAATGTTTATCACAAGACAGACCTGTTACTACATTTACAAAACGCTAATTCCTAAAACTACCAGCTAATAAAATCACGCTAATTTTTTTGGCTATAAAAATCTGGCTTCGTCACCCTGAACGACCCGCCGAGTGATTTATTGTGTAATCCAAAGGAGGCAATTCAATTTATCCAATTGTACCACATTCCGTAACAAAAATAAATTAAATTGAGGTTAACAGGGATCTGTTGACCTCAAAAAGGATGCTATGAGAGCCCCTAGCTGTTCTATCAATCAGTTTTATTGTTTTTTTTTATCAAAATCTATCCATTTAATTTAAATTAATCATTCAACACGGGATTAATTAGATCTTCAGGTAGCTCTTTTTTACTATTATATGAAAGAAAAAAGTGTTTTTGTTAATTCCTGCCATAAGTAAGTAATGTCCTTACTGAACGTTGGAAGTTTCTGATTGTTGCTAGATTAGAATATATCTAAAAAGGCAAAAGCGTTACAGCCCTACAGCCTATTCAGACTTATAATAAACAATCTATAGGTAATTAAAAATGGCGGGCGTTTATGACAGTGACAGTTATGGTGACGGATGCTCGCCGCCGCATTAGCCGCTTCCGGCGCGCCACGCGGTTCGCATCTAAACGTTCACACAACGCGTTCTCAATTTGAATAATTTTAAATTTGGAACTGTTGTTTATTGAATTCAATGTTGCCATTGATTTTTTTCTTTCAGTTGTGTTTGAGACCAGTAAAGGTGATTTTTTTTTTAAATAGGTAAATTAATAAAATCGCCATTGTTTGCATTGTATCAAGCTATATTATTTAATGAATTTGCCCTACAAATGATTAGAACTAGGATGAGTTGCAATTCTTCACATACTTTTTAATTCATCGATAAATTGGTTTGAGTCATCGTTTTGGATCCTTTTTATTTCCAATCATATTAACCGCCGAAGTACATATTTCCATGCTTCTTTCTATTGAAAAAAAAACGGCACTAAAAAAACGATTATACAGGTATTTTGTAGTGGACACGTCAAACGTAATACTTTGAACCAAAAATCATAAACATTTTAAAACTTGCGTAAGAAGGCAGTCTTAAGATAAACGGAAGCTTTAGAATACCATCTCATTTCTCCGAATACCACAAAGGCAACAGTTATGTGTTTACAAATTTATCTCGGACGCGCTATGACGTTGATGTGTTGACAATGGACACGCGTACGGGGTAAGGGCTGTCATCTGTTCGAATTTGATGTCTTTGGTCAGTGTTTTTTTTATAGTGACTTAATTTCTATCTAATGTCTATGGGTAGATGTCGCTTTCCTATTTTGGTGAATTCACGTGGCGCTTCCCCGTTTGCTGCCTTTTAATAAAAAATAGGTATTATTTTGTAAAACATGTTACATTAACGACATAATTAATTATCGCTGTCCTATTTGTAAAAACGAACGCACCGCTATTAATATAAAAATCGCAATTAGGCTAATTGTTTAGCAACAAAGTGACAAGAATTAGGGCGCGAAAGGTGGGAGGGGTTCGCCCGTTTATACTAAAACGTCACATAGAAATATTCATGACAGGTCTACCTTTTTCCCTTTTAAAATCGCTGAATCACCGCCAATAACAATTTTTTTTTTGTTTGACAAAAGGCCAATGTTTCTATGGTTATGTAAATGTCGGTGGGTTGTATTTTTACTGCAACATAGAATGTTTAGGCCAATTTTTAAAAGATGAATGCAATATGTACTTCACAACTGACTTACCTTACCCTGAGATTTGACTGTCGAATGTCTGAAGCTGAAAGCTGTACAAAAAAGTATTGCCAACTCTGTTTTCTTAAAGAAAATGAGTAGGATGACAATATTTTTGTACGTTTGATTCGTCTATGGTATTACATAACATCGTATATATTAAATGTTAGTCAATAACTTTGTATTACGTGTTTACTCGAGTATATTTTTTCCTGTAGACTAAAAATGTGTTATTTTCTCACAATCACATTGTTGTTACTTAACATAGGAAAGTATACATATGTGTACAATGACATAGCATGGGAAAGTACGCGTAATCATAAATAATGACGTCCCATCATTTCCCAGCTTGGGTTCCACAAACAAGTTGTCAAGTTTAATAATATGCGCAAGAAATTGTATTTCCAGCCCTTAGGTTTTTAAATAAACTGGAATAAACAGTACTTTTTCTTACTAAAGAACATTCAGTTAAAGGCGTAATACGTTTTTTATTGACTAGCTGTCGCCCGCGATTAAATGTCATAATCAGATCACTATACGTCCAAACTGAAGGACTCGGAGCCTACCCTAAGTTAGGGGTGACTAGGCAATAGTCATCCACGCTGGCCTAGTGCGGGTTGGTTGACTTCACACATATATTTGAATTTCTTCGCAGATATGTGCAGGTTGCATCACGATAGTTTCCTTCACCGTTAGTACGTCTGATAAATGTACATATGTAAATCGAAAATCGAAAAAATCAGTGGTACATGGCGGGATTCGAACCCAGGTCCTGCAGATCAAGTCAAATGCTGAAACCCCTGAGCGACTCCTATGAAAATTGGTCTAGTCGTTTCGGAATTTGGAAATGGAGATGGAAGTTAGTCAAAAAGAAACACCCATATATAAAAACATATTGTTATCTCTATTTTGTCAAAGATAATGACAGGGATGACGATATCTTTGATACAGAGATTTTGATATCAGAAGCCAATAGTTAGTCTGGTAAAAAAAATAGAAGAGACCTTTTCATGTAGACTACATGTGCATGTAATAATATAGAGTCATTTTATAAGAATGAAAATTAAAACTAAATAAAAATTTTACATCATATCCACAAATAACTATGAACGAATCTTTTCCACCTACGTATGACATTCGACATGCAATCATCATTGCTTATAACTTTGTAAGTAGGTAGTGATAAATTACACGTTTTAAGAGCAAACTAAATCAGCAGAAATATATATTTTATATCATAAGGTGGCAAACGAGCGAACGGCCACCTGAAATAGCGAAGTAACTGTTGCACATAGACATACGTAATTGTATCTGCGGTGCCTACCTTTAATCGTTTGAGGAGAGGATGCACAGAAATAAAATATTTTCCCTTTCCATGCATCTCATCCGGAAAGTCCACTTCCACTTCCCATCCTTTCCTTATAAGAAAAAGGGTTGGAAGGGAAAGAGAATAAACTCATCAGACGAAACGCGGAATTACTTCCACTTCACGCCTGTCTTCTGTGTGGTCGTGGTATTTCACCGGGCGGGCCAATTCGTGTGAAGATGTTAAAGCGGGTTCTATCACTGTTAAAAAAATTAACCTTACTAATATTATAAATGCACATGTTTAGATGGATGCATGTTTGTAAGAAGATATCTCCAGAACGGCTGCATGGATCTCGATGAAATTTAACATAAATATAGAATAATCTGGAAGAACAAATAGGTTTTTATTGACGAAATCGCAGGCGACAGCTACTCATCGGATAAAAATTTAAAAAGCTACAAAAAAGCAATTACTTAAGTAATTAATTACCCCCAATTTTATTTCCTTAAGCTACACCACTCAGGGTCATTAAAGGAATCCTTGTCATTCGCACATATTTAATCTAAATTAAGTCTAGATATATTTAATTCGGACTATGGAATACTGCTACAAATTTGCATGTATTCAAAAATTACTCTTAAACCCTTCTGCGTAAAGTTTAGAATTACATGCACGTTATTAAAGCATACGTAATCGGAAGAAAATCATAATAATAAGGAAACGTTATGGGAACATGCACAACGAACTTGACTTTAATGTGTATCGAAAAATAAACTCTTTTGCTTAGACCATAGAGTAACGAATTGAATGACAAAGTATTTAATGCTTTTGGGTTGGGATTGAAATTTCTTTTTATTGAAAAATAAACTCTATTTTTAAGACTACAGTATTGAATTTAGAATTGAATTGTTGTATTTCGTCGTGTGCGTTTTGTTTATTAGATTTTCTTAATCAAAAAGGTTTTTATCACGTTATTCGGCCATTATAGGAATTATTGGTTTTCTTCTAAATCGAGGTTTTATTGCAAAAATTAAAGAAAAAGTTTTATTATTAGTTTAAATCCTTTTACATGAAGGTTTTTATGAAATAAAAAAATAAAATGCTATTAAAATATTAACAGCTACGGTCGTTCGAAAGCGGTCTTTATGCTTTAGAGACAAAGTTTAAAATACCTTGGCATGTGTATCGCGTGATTGCAATGACGTAATGTAGGGTAGAACGAATGGTACATAGTACGAACGATAACGGGATCTCCCGTAATGGTTCCTATTTCCGTGTGTATTTATATTTACTTTATGCGATTTACTAGAGGAAAATATATCACAATTGTTTTCAGTAGGAAAAAAGACATTTCATATGACGGAAGCATTCTTTCTTATGTTCAATTTCTTTTTCGGACTTGTACACTCAGCGGCATAAATATGAATACATTTAAAAAGCCTCCGAAACGCGTATTAGCCTTCGGTTTCTAAAACTTGTATGCACTTGCATCTGTATGCTTACGACCATGATAACATGTTACCGACGAAAACATGCATACGACTATTTGAAACCTATACAAGTTTCTAAAGTATTGTAAATGTACAAATATTTATGCGGTTGACTGTACATTATTGTCATCTCTATTATTCTCTAATATTATAAATGTGAATGATTAGATGGATGGATGGATGCAGTATTGTTCGAAAGTATCTTCAGAACGGCTAAACGGATCTTGGTGAAATTTGGCTTACACATAGAACATAGTCTGGAAGAACACAGGCTACTATTTACGCGCGGACGGAGTCGCGGGCGACAGCTAGTGTCTAAATAAAAATGAAAAAAAATTAGATAACTATGATATTTTCTGAAGATTTTTTTTAAGTTTATATGATA